TATGGGATGAAATCGGATAGAGATGAAATTGTTTAGGGATGAACGGGTTTAAGAGTTTTAAGAGTTTAAGAGTTTTTAAGAGTTTTAGCCAAATGCTTTATAATATAGTATAGATATATATTATATATTTTTAATAAATCATCTTCAAATAAATTTTAAAAGAAATGTTTTTATGGTGTGAGAAAACTTCGGTTTTTTATTTCTCTGGTTTAAAAACTACATCAATTTTTTATAGGTTTCTGAAGCATATGTACAAGTCATTTTTAGCATTTCAAAGAGAGGAATGAAGAAAAAAACCTAATGTAACCTCCTTTTTTTTTTTTTTTTCTTTTGAAGTATATAATATGTGCAACAAATAAACTCATGCACCCTCCTCACCTATGGTGAGGTTTGAACCTCTGACCTCCTAGAAGGTCAAGGGTTACGATACCGCTAGGCCAAAGACCCTTTAGTCGACATCATTTCTCATCCATTCTCTCTAGCGATTGCACAAGTACAACTCCCCCATGTACATGTTATATGTTCTTGTGGCAACATGTCAATTCGTCCATCTCTATATTTGTAAGGAATCAAGAAAACGAGGACTGTTAATTCCCAGTTATGGTATTCTAGAGTTTTTCAACAAATTTTGAGAGGATTGATGTTCTTTGATATACTTTATGATTTTAATAACATGCTCCTATTTATTATTCATGTACCAAAACATAGAGGCGTTAAAAGGGTAGTAAAACAGATTGGCTTGAGAGGTCTTTCCTAAATAATAAACCACCTAAAGCACTGTCCATTACTCTTTTCATATTCGACAAAGATGGAGTCAAAGTAGTAAAAGCAAAGGGAGCATCATCGATGAAGATGCAGAGGTGGGTGATGGTAGGTTTGGACATTGAAGATGAAGACACGCAGGGGCTGATGTAATCGGTAATGGTGGCAAAGTTATAACCGTTGACCTCACTGGAGAAGGCAATGGTGAGTTTTAGGTTTAGATGAAGATGAAGATGCAAAGGGACTGATGTGTTAGGTGGTTGCAGCAAGATGCACTTGTTGAAGGAGGTAATGGTGGCGATGTAGGTTTTAGGTCAGATTCGAGGATTGAATTGGTTTCTTGGAATTTTGTTCTTTTAAATACATATGGTTTGTACACATCTTATAAAGACACATGCACACTAATTTTTTATTTATAAAACACATGCCAAATGACCAAAATACCCTTGTATGACGTGCCCACGAGGAACGCTTAACGACTGTTCTTAAGCATTCTTAACCATAAACAAATCAAATAACAAAAAACGCAACAAAAATTTACTAATGTAATCACTGAACTCAACAGAAGAAACATAATTTCCCAAAATCACAAGGACGGTTCTTGTAATCTACTTTAGAGTAAAATACGTTTTTCGTCCCTGTAATTTGCTTAAAATTACGGATTTCATCCATATGGTTTGAAAATTTCAGTTTTCATCCCTATAATTTGCAATTCAATTTTATTTTCACCACTGAGTCTAAATACACTACTTTTAAGTATGAAAAACTAAAATAGAAATAAATTATAAACCATAGGAACGAAAAAAAAATAAATTTTAAATCATAAAGACGAAAAAGGTAATAAATTATAAATCATACTGAAATTTTAAAATCATAAAAATAAAAATAGAAAATTTCAAGATACCACAACAACTAAAAATATAATATATTTGATGTACACAATATTTGCTATCAGTTTAAAATTACTATAATAATCAACTTTAAAAACGTATTTAAAGAAACACATATGACTACATTCTTAAGGGTCAAATATATTCATCCATGGTGGATCTGATCTGATTTGATCTAATCTGCAAAACCCTAAAAATACCCACTTTCCATTTCATACCGTTTTTCTTCTTTTCACTATAAATACACACTCTTTTCCCTCTTTATTGCTTTCCCCAACGCAGTGTCTCTTTTGCTCTTTCGCCAACCCAATAGCAGGAGAGTTTTTAGGTTTCCGGGATTATGGGGTCGCCGTTACTGTCAGATCTGGCCACTGAAATCATTATTCCGGTATGCGCCGTGGTCGGTATTGTTTTCTCTTTGGTTCAATGGCTGTTGGTCTCCAAAGTTAAGCTCACACCGGAACCTAACCGCTCGCCGTCAAACAACAACAAGAATGGATTCAATGATTCTTTGATCGAAGAGGAAGAAGGCGTTAACGAACATAACGTCGTTGCTAAATGCGCTGAGATTCAGACTGCCATTTCTGAAGGTTAGATCAGTCAGCTACTGTTCTTTGAGATCCTTCTTTATCATGTTTTGTTCTTGCTCTGTGTTCTCATTGAGATCTGTACGTAATGATTGTTGAAAGTTTCAAGATTTCAGCTTCTTTTAAGTGTACATTTTGTTGTTTGTGAAATGGGTTGAGTTTAAGTAAATCTGTAGGGTATTTTCTTTGTTTGGTGAGTAGATGGGATTAGGGTTCGGTAGTGATGGCTGGGTTCATCTTTTAATGGGTTCTTGGGTGATCCCAAGGTTCATGGATTAGGGTTCTATAGTGATGGCTGGTTCCATTTTTGTAAATGGGTTCTTGGGTGATTCCAAAATTCATGGATTAACTGGTTTCTACTTCTTATTCATAGATCTGTAGATTTTATCTGTAAATCGATTCAAGTTGCTGTTTTTAAGGCCATTTGGTCATCAAAAACTGAAATTTTCTGCATCATTGAAGCCATCAAAGACTGGTTTAGTGATTGTATCTCAAGATCTCAAAGAGCTTACACCAAAATGTGGAAAATAAACTGAGTTTGTAGACCCAGTTCGGTAAATTTGAAGATAACATTAAAAATTCAATCTTTCTTGATTAAGAAATCCAACTGGGGTCTGGGGTCCCTATCTTGGTACAACTTGACCCAAAATCTTGTAGATTTTTGTTATTTCTTGAGCGCTTTTCGTCTCTTTTCAATGTATGTGAAGCTAAGGGCCTGTTTGTTAGCATATTATCAAGACTCGTAGCTTATTGGGTCAGCTATAAATGACTGTTTGGTAGTGGCTTATTCAGTAAGCTTCTAGAGGGAGGCGGGGGCTTTATGCAGAAAGCCAAGTTTTTTTCCAAACCTGCTTCTTCCTGTTAAAAGAACACGCCCCTTCCATCGATAAAGAAGCCCTCCTAAACAAAAACCGTCCCGATTTATACGGACATATTAGTCTACACAGGCAGCTTTATCCATATGGACTTGACAGAAAACCAACCAAACAGCCCCTAACACTCATTAAGCACAAATCATTATAGACCATCTGAACTGATAAATGTATTTTGTGTTTGGTTCATTCCAAAACAACAGGTGCAACCTCCTTTTTGTTTACCGAGTATCAATACGTGGGCATTTTCATGGTTGTCTTTGCAATCTTGATCTTTCTTTTCCTGGGTTCCGTTGAGGGATTCAGCACAAAGAGTAAACGGTGTACCTATGATATCACCAGAATGTGCAAGCCTGCACTTGCCACTGCTTTGTTTAGTACCGCATCCTTTGTGCTTGGGGCGGTTACCTCTGTTCTCTCTGGTTTCCTCGGGATGAAAATAGCTACGTATGCAAATGCAAGAACGACACTAGAAGCAAGGAAAGGAGTTGGGAAAGCGTTTATTATTGCATTTAGATCTGGTGCTGTAATGGGTTTTCTCCTTGCTGCAAATGGTCTTTTGGTTCTATACGTTACGATTAATCTCTTTAAGTTGTACTATGGAGATGATTGGGAAGGCCTTTTTGAGGCTATAACTGGTTACGGGCTCGGTGGATCTTCGATGGCTCTGTTTGGAAGAGTTGGTGGTGGTATATACACTAAAGCGGCTGATGTTGGTGCTGATCTCGTTGGGAAGGTAGAAAGGAACATTCCAGAAGATGATCCCAGAAATCCTGCTGTAAGTTACGGTTACGCCCTTTAGTTGTTTTTGCAGTATTTGATATTTTGAAGATCGTGTATTTTAAAAGTCTGCTCGTTATCAGGTAATTGCTGATAATGTTGGGGATAATGTTGGTGATATCGCTGGGATGGGATCCGATCTTTTTGGTTCTTACGCTGAATCATCTTGTGCTGCACTTGTTGTTGCCTCGATTTCTTCTTTTGGGATCAACCACGAATTCACAGCAATGTGCTATCCTTTGCTCGTGAGCTCGGTGGGAATCATTGTTTGTTTGATAACCACACTTTTTGCAACTGATTTCTATGAAATCAAGGCTGTCAAGGATATCGAGCCAGCATTGAAGAATCAGCTTATTATATCGACTGTTCTTATGACCGTTGGAATTGCAATCGTTAGTTGGATCGCTCTGCCTTCATCCTTCACAATATTCAATTTTGGCGTACAGAAAGTTGTGCATAACTGGTAAGATTTTTGTTTCTACTGGTCGTCGACATCTTTCTTTTGATGGATTTATTTATCGTTAGAAATCTGTTTGCAGGCAACTTTTCTTGTGCGTGTGCGTCGGTCTTTGGGCTGGACTTATTATCGGTTTTGTGACCGAGTATTACACCAGCAATGCATACAGGTATGTCGGGCTTATAGCTAATGTATTGTGATTCAAATTCATCTAGCGGATAATTAATTCTTATTTTCGTCTTTTTGCAGCCCGGTGCAAGATGTTGCAGATTCGTGCAGGACTGGAGCTGCAACTAACGTTATTTTCGGCCTTGCATTGGGATACAAATCCGTCATCATTCCTATTTTCGCGATAGCAATCGGTATCTTTGTCAGCTTCAGCTTTGCCGCCATGTATGGTATTGCAGTTGCAGCTCTTGGGATGCTCAGCACGATTGCGACTGGACTGGCTATAGATGCTTATGGTCCCATCAGTGACAATGCTGGCGGCATAGCCGAGATGGCTGGCATGAGCCACAGAATCCGTGAGAGGACCGACGCCCTTGATGCTGCCGGAAACACCACTGCCGCCATCGGAAAGGGATTTGCTATCGGGTCTGCTGCACTGGTTTCGCTGGCGCTATTTGGTGCGTTTGTGAGCCGTGCAGGGATTCAAGTAGTTGATGTGTTGACACCGAAAGTGTTCATCGGTCTAATCGTTGGTGCCATGCTTCCGTACTGGTTCTCCGCCATGACCATGAAGAGCGTAGGCAGTGCCGCCTTGAAAATGGTGGAGGAAGTCCGTAGACAGTTCAACACCATCCCGGGTCTGATGGAGGGTACCGCCAAGCCGGACTACGCCACCTGTGTCAAAATCTCGACCGATGCATCCATCAAGGAGATGATTCCCCCGGGTGCACTCGTCATGCTAACTCCCCTCATCGTTGGGATCTTTTTCGGAGTCGAGACTCTTTCAGGCGTTCTTGCCGGTTCTCTAGTTTCTGGCGTCCAGGTAACTTAAACTTTTCAGACACCATTTTGCTGATTCGTTTCCGTTTTCAACGTTCTGGTTCATGGTTCGGTTTGTTTCGTTTCATTCATCAGGTGGCGATTTCGGCATCGAACACGGGTGGTGCATGGGACAATGCCAAGAAGTACATTGAGGTGATTATCTCTATTTCTAAACCCTAAAAGAAAGAAAGCAGCATTTTGTCCTGGTTTCGCAACTAACAATTCCTCAACTTGGAGAAGGGCCAAAAATAGAAAATAAAGGATCTAGACTAATTTACAGATTTGGTCCTTGTATTTAGACTAATTTACAGATTTCGTCCCTGTTATGGATGTTTTATTTGCGGACCATTTTCTGAAATTTCTGCTTTTTACCCCTCCGCAAGTTGAGGAATGGTTTACATGCAGAGGTGGTGGTTTTGTTGAAAAAGTAGTTGAGAAATGGTTAAGCCGTTTTCCCAAGAAAGTAATGTTTTTATGAATGTGGATCAGGCGGGGGCGTCGGAACACGCAAGGACCCTGGGACCGAAGGGGTCCGAACCACATAAGGCTGCAGTTATAGGTGACACGATTGGGGACCCGTTAAAGGACACGTCAGGTCCATCGCTGAACATTCTGATCAAGCTCATGGCTGTAGAATCGCTGGTGTTTGCACCCTTCTTTGCTGCTCATGGTGGTTTGCTTTTTAAGCTGTAGAAGAAGGTAGAGAGCTTTTGTAGCAGAGTATGTGTTAGATTTGCCACGTTTTATTTTCCTCCATGACTACTGTGGTAGAGTTGGTAGGCTGAATAGTATTTTTGCTGATACAATTTGCCCATGAGATGAGATGAGATGAGAAGAGAGGGTTTAGATTTGGGTTAGTTTTCTAAGACCACTTGGTTTGTAGTTTATGATTTTTGGAGGAATCTGTTACTTTTATAATCTTGTGTTTTCATGTTCAAAGTCTCTCTCTCTCTCTCTCTACATATATATATATATATATATATATATACACACACACACACACAGACCCGTTTGTTTTCGTGATACCCAATGAATTCTTTTTTTACACTTAAAACTTCACAGCAAATCGCTATGAAAGTAACTTTCACAATGTTTTTGTTGTGAAGGTTCAACTTTTTTTCCTTCATAGTTTTTTGTTGTGAAGTTTCAAGTGTAAAAAAATGGTCTCATGAAAACAGGTTGGTTTCATGTGAACCCTACACACATACATATAGGTTCAGGGGAAAACCACAAAAAAAATGAAAAACTAAGGAACAACTTGATAATCGTTCATCTGGACAGTATGTGCATATAAGTAATTTGTCCGGTATGCACATGTGCATAACATGCACACGTACATCAAACCTAAAGACAATTTCACTTGTATGTACATTTGCATACCGTCCATTTTTAAAGGAGTTTTTCCCTGATCCTCCATTTATTTATATATATATATATATACACACACACACATACAAAGAGGTCCAAATGAAAAAAACTAAAAAACACGTCGCCTGCACACTACCAGGTCCCCTTACATGTATTATCACATGTGATAAGGGTATTCTTGTGCTTTCGTAAAATGAAGGTGTTCTCATTTGAACCTCCACCTCTTTCTTTATATATAGCTATGGATATATATATGGAAGATCATATGAGAAGTCGGTTCATTAAGCAGATTACAGGTTAATAAGTCCAAATTATGATAAATTAAGACATCAATCTACTTAATTATGTAGATATTACAATATTTTGTTAAAATCAAACGATACTTGGTTGATAATTATTTGGGTAAAATCCTCTATCAGTCTCATACGAAACTCGTCTTCGATGACACCAGTATGAAAGACATTTTTGGTTCATTCAACAGCTAAAATTATAAAAATAGGGATCGAATCTATAACTTGTCTGGTATTTGAATAAAAACGTCTCATCCATTTACCAACTGAGTTGCTGAAGTCACTTGACATGATAATTAATGCATGGAGTGTGATTGTAACTCAACTTTGTTGGTTGGTTTGGTATCATGAAATGATTGATCACTGAGTTTGAGTTTTGGTTAATTGGTCATTTCATTGCTAAGTTTTGGGACCATAATAGCAATGGGTAACCTGTTACCTTTTAAACCGGTTAACCCTTTGACTTTTTTGCTTGTATGGCTTTAATGAAGTGATGTGGATGACACATCATTTTGATGACTTAACTAAAATTAAAATAAAAACGTATTTCAAATTATTATTAGTGATTTTCATTTTTCATTGCTATTATCTAAAAAAACATTTAATTTTTTTTTACTTTTTCTTATTAAGTTGCATTTAAATTAAATATTCTTAAAGTAAAATATTTATTAAATAAATATGCAACATTATTTCGAGATATATTTTATTTGTAAAAAAGACAACTTTTCCTACTTTATGTTGTTCAAATAAATACATATCTTTTAAAGTTCTCTTTAAAATATTAACGAAATAAATTGTTATCTACAATTTTTTAATATTGTTATATTAATAAATACTTCAAAAAAATCTAATTAATTTAATATATTTATACGTCTAGTAAAAAGTTTTTAAACAAGTATAATATATTCGTCAAGTAAAGATAATATTTTTTGGTAAAAAAAAAAGAACAATTCTTATTTTCCTTTTTTCAAAAAACACATATTTTTTTAAAAATATTAGCGAGATAAGTTATGTTCTACTAGTTTTATTGATATTGGTATATTAATGAATAATTTAGAATTTTTTTAATTCATTTAATACATTTATTAAAAAACATGTAAAATATCTAAATATTAAAATTAAAAATACAATGTTTAATAAGAACTAGTAG